ATTCTGATCATTTATGTATACATTTGTCTATATCTATCTCGATTCGTTTTGCCTGTTACAAACAACCGTTATGTGAACAAAGTTATAATACCCTTGTGCACAAGTGCGCTCGGGTATAAAAACGCAGTTATACTATATGTATATTGATTCTAAGGCAGAAATACTCTCGGAGGTTTGCCATTGCCTGCCGAGGGGCGACCGCTGTTAGAATAAACATTTTTTGTTGTTGAGTTGAACCGGACTTGAGTCCAGGTCCTGCGGAGTGATAGCGCGCACTGCTAACCACTACACCACAGCGGCCGCCTGTTTCTGTTTTAGGTACTTGTTACTGTATGAACTCGGCCAAAATCACTTAATTTGTTATAGCGCCACAGCCTAGATTTCGTAAGCATTTTTTGAACGTAAAGCTATCCAAATGCAGCCCGGATCGTATTTGCATAGTTACTTGAATTTTTCTGTTGTAGACTATTTTTGGAGAGGTTGCTGATATTCATTTGAATGGTCAGACTTGAAAATGCTGCAAATTAAGGATCGGAAATACATATGTATGTATGTGATAAATGCAGAAATATGCTTTATAAAATTTTTATAATTTTTGATTAAATCAAATTGTGAAAATAAGACTGTTAAACTCGTTGGAGTCATAAAATAAGTTCTTTGACCACAAAACGACTACTTTATACACATAGTGAGGAACAAAAGCGTCAAAATGGTAATGTTTTTTTTTTTAAATATTAAATGTTTTTCATGTTAAAACTCTTTGTTAATTTCTGATAAAAGTATTGTCCATGTTACAGCCAGGTCCGTTGAAATCTGAATTTTAAACTTTAAACAAAATGTAGAAAATTTCTTCAAAATTCATAAAATTTTCAAACTTTATTATCCGAAAATCTAAAACATTTCTGACTATGCAGTTTTATAACAATTTTATATATATTTATAGTAGAAGTTTGAAGACCCCAGAAAATCGCGTTTTTATTTTTTTTTGCGAACGGTCTTTTGCTGTGTCAAAGAGTCAATTTGCTCCTCACTGTACATAGTTGCATGTCAGCTTTTCAAAATTCCAGTCGCTACGTTATTTTTATGTTGTGCGTTTATTGGTAGCTTCTTTCGAAAAATTTTCAATATAAATGCTTGAAACTATTCAATATCTTTTTTCTTTCTCTTTATTATGGTCAAATATTCTATCTTCTATTATTTCTGTTGAACCTTTTTACTAACAACCTATTTTTGAAAAGTTTTTTTCATATTACCAATTACACTATCACTATACTTTTTATAATTATTCCAAATACTTATGTATGTATTACACTTTTTCCTACACAAAATCTCCCTGCAGTTCGCCTTTAATTAAAACTAGTTAACTTGCCTTTTCACAGAACTTTCACAAAAAATTTAGCTGCAACTTTAACACTTTTTCTTTTCAATTTCTGCTTTTACTTCTCAAATAGCAAACCAACGTCAGTTAAAAAAGTTAATAACTTTTCGTATGACACTCGAAAGTAAAACTTACCCGCTAAAGCCACGTCGCTTTGTTGATGAAGTCAACGGATCCGGTTTGCCGCGATTGTTACCTAAAAAAAGTAAAGCACACAATTGTGAAATTAAAACTTTATAAGATTTGCTCTTCATTCATCATAAAAGTCAACTATTTATGTACTCACTTTGCTCCTGCATCGCATCGTTTGTTTCCTTGCGCGCCGAACTGTTCTTCTGTGCGCTTGGCGATGGTTTAAGTATTGAAACAGGCACCAGTCCTTCCTGTACGGCTGCATCGTCACTTTGTGGATTTAGGCGTACTAAACAGAAATCTGGCTCGGCGGCTGAGGGTGCTTCCACAACCTCAACTTGTTGCCCCTTAGTTACACTCAACTCATTGGAGCCGGGTGTTGCAATGTAATCAGCGACCACCCAAGTGCCCTCGTGGCTACCAATCTGCAATGGGAAAAAGAAAAATAGAAATAAGAAATAAGGCAAAAAAAGGATAACTTAATTGAATATGACAAAAGCGACAACAATGAGAATGGCACGATGGCAACGACTTGAAAAAAAAAAAAAATCAATAAATACTGGCACGTTGTGCCGTTTTGCAGACATGGCCAGTTAACACGTCTTGTGCTCCTGCTAGCAGGCAGCAAGAGGCGACCAGCAAAGACATACTATAAAGTCGGTAATGAAGCATATTAAATAAATAGACATGACTACTACATATGAACATACATATGTACATACACCCATATGCAACGCGGTTGTTATTAAGTCAAAAAGTTGAAGTGGCATGGAGGGAAATGAGTAAACGGATGTGCGGTAGAGATTTAAGTCTCGGACTGGATATACTTGGACAGTATATATTATAACTGGATAAAGAAAATGAAAAAAATATTAAGTCACTTTGGGTAACCTTTAAACTTAAATTTATATACGATTTTGTATTTCTTGATATGTATTTTGGCCGTTCGATTATTGCTAGCGACTGAGGCCAGGTATTTGAATACTTTTCGCAATAAGGGCTACTCTAATGAGTAAAATGTCATTCTTCTTTATGTTTGTAAAAGCAGAGACCTAACTACATTTTTACTTTATTTCGATACTGATGTATTTATCGATAATTTTATGAACAACGAGTGTTGTCGCTATCTAAACCGAAATTCTTATTGTTTTAAGCGATGAATTCCACTATATTCTTATCTATAATCGATTTTTTTATCACTATGGTTTTCGATATGTATAGAATTTGTTATCGTTACCGCAGCATCTCAACTTCCACTCCCACTCTTGTACCTTTCCCCGTTCTCGACCCTTGCCAAGGTGATAAACCCCTGTCACGCTTTAGTGGGCCACTCCGACATATTGAGTTTAACGGACCTCTGCAATCTGAAGCATTCATTCACCATGGGGTGTGCCTGAAAGTGGTAGTGTGGCTTGGAGCAAGCGGGTCGCTTTAAAAAAGTGTAATGTTAAGATTCCCAGGTTCTGATTGTGCGCTGAGTAAGGCATCCGCCACGTAATAACGAGCTCCAATAAAAGAGATAAAATCGTCGGAACAGATATTTTTTTTGATGACTGTCTAAAAATCTGGCCCAAGCGGTTATAGCGCCAAACACGAAGAATAACTTCATTTATGACGGCGAGTACCGAAGACGATGAATGATAGAATGAATGCAAATAACACGGATCGGGAAATTAAAAAAAAACAGTGATTCCACTGACCAGCCAATGGATTTAAAAACTTCAAATCTGAAATAGCACGATGCGGTAATCACTGGGGGTGAATTCGGCCAAAATCGCTTAAGCTGTTATATCGCCAATTTATAAAATATGAATTAATAAAAGCTTTAACAGCTTTGAAAGACATCTATTCTTACGAAGCAAATAATAATTTTGCAATAATAAGAAAAGAAAATCCACTTTAGTGTCTCTGCGCTTTAGTATATCGCCCACAATTTCCAACTAAATACAACTGTGCATATAAATATGTATGTATATAAGTGATATGGCACTAGCATATCATTTTCACTTCATCTAACAAGCTGCTTTTCATCTTACTATTTCCACTACAATGCACTGATATTGGCACGCTCCTCTTCTACTGCTACTATTCGCTGCTGCTTAGTTATTAAAGTATTGATAATGAACCTTATTGTGTACAAGTATATGTGTCCCCAGCGGATTGCTTTTGAAAACACGCACACAAACAACGCGATTATAAATACCCTGCAGGGAAAAGCCAAACAAGTTAGAAAAAATACTAGTTCATTAACTAGTATGTGCCTGTGTTCATTAACTAGTAAGTTCGACAATTTCAAATAACTTAAGCGTTCAGCGACATCTGCCTTTGAATTGCCAAAACCAAAAATAAAACGCAATTAATTGCTTTTCTTACAAATGTCGGCTGTGGCGTCACGTGAAGACTACTGGTTTCTGGTTCTGAAATCGCAGGTTCGAGGCCACTTGGAGGTGGTTAAGGTTTTTAAATCAATGTAAGTAAAAATAATTTATTCAATTTATAAATAAATATCAAATTTGAAAATCTAATTGCATTGCAGAAAAAAACATACATATGGGAAGAAATGCTTGTGCCATAAAAAAAAAATTAAACGAAAATATTTTTTTTTATTAAATTTAAAAATTACAATAAAAAGTATAAAAAAAATAAAAATGATAAATACAAAAAATTCCCCTACGCTAGGCCTTGAACCTGGTACCTCAGGAATACCACGCGAGCGCTTTGCTCTGTCGGCCATTGAGACTGTTGCTATGCTGTTGTTATGCTTTTCACGCGGGATGAATTGGCAGTCTGCTAACCTCATCAACTGGTATGATGCTACTAGTCTTTCTACTAGTAAATGCTGATGCATAACCTGACAATTGACATCTCGTAGGACATCGCAATGTTAAAAATACCAGTCGCTTACATTGAAAAAGGATAGAACGTGAACTAGTTCGGCTGAAATGCAAACTGGTAGAATTCTAGTTAACAACTAGTAGCTTTCCCTGCAGGGTACTACTTCAAATGCGGCTAACAAGCTTCCTTCCCATGTATTTACCGAGTATTCAGGGGACAATGAATGCTAAATCTTTGTTGGGATATCTGCATTGCTTGAATTAATTATTCATGAGATTAATATCTCAGAACCAATACATACACAAATATCAATGAGTTAGTGAGCGGGCTTATTTCAGAGCCGAAATGTGTGTGTGTGTGTGTGTGTGTTTTTGTGTATTGATTAACATGTTTCACGTAGTTGTAAAAGGACTATAATTGGCATGAATAAATAGACGATGATGGTCAATGATTAATAAGATTATTTGTCAAGGCAAAGAAGACAAAAAAAAAATCCAATAAATATGGAGACTNTGATAGAATACATATTTTGCGAAGAATTATAAATAGCGGCTATTGTAGCTAAAATCCTTCAAGCGTGATTGGAAAGTGGATGTGGCTTAAATTATAGAATAAAATACTGTTTTTGACGAAATCTATTATCTTCACTACAATTTATTTGTTTTACTATCTCTTTTTGACTGCATGAGGAGTGGCTGCTTGGTTAGCAAGAGGTTGAAGTTTTCTTTTTTTTAATCTTTTTGCTCTTTATTAAATTTCAAAATTGGGCTGCTAATACAATTTTGGTTCCAATTCTGTTACTTAGTACGAAAATATTTCGTAATTTATCCTACTGGGTATGCAAGCGAAATGTTTGTTTTTCACTGTCAAAATATACAAACATAAGTACACAAATTAAACCGACATTAAGTACACATGCACCGGCAAGCATGTCGTCAATTAATCTCCTGCAGATTACGAAATTGGATGAACATCGATATGTATATACATTGACTTAAACAAATGACCCGTGTTGATTTTTTTTAAACATTCGTAAAGTTTTTTGGCCAAAATTTTGTTTGTTATTTTTCTAACCAGATGGTATAAATCACAGTTTCACAGACTTTTGAGAATATTTTTTTAGGCTAATTTTTCGGGTTTTTTTAATATAACGAGCGCAATTTACAAAAACTTGTGTTGCTATTTTGAAATTTTGTTGCTGGCGGTCTCCCGTGTTTTATTCCATAAGAAATTCATACTCATATGAAAAAAGTGCAAAAAACCGTCACTGAATAAAAAGTTGAAATTTTGGTGAAAATTAGTTGAATTTTCCTAAATTTTGTATAATGTTTGAAACTGTGATTTACATGATTTTTGTTAAAGTTTAGACGATATTTTTATATAAAATTAACCAAAAAAATTATATGATGGTATAATCACAGTTTCAAGCTTTATAGAAAATTTTAGAAAATTCAACAAATTTTCATCAAAAATTCAACTTTTTAATCTAAATCTTTGAACATTTTTGGGTATGCAGTTTTATAGCCAATACAATTTTACACCGAAAATCCCACTGATTTTTGAGATTTGTTTCTTTTTGGTGACGGATTTTTGCACCATTTTTAATAAAATCAAGAATTTCTTATTAAATAAAGTGCGGGAGACCGTTAGCAAAAATATTAAAAAAATCAACGCCAGTTTTTGTAAATTACACTTGCTATATAAAAAAAAAAAACGCAAAAGCAGTCTACAAAAAATAAAAAAAAAAATTTCAAAAATCAACGCGATTTTTTAGTCGGTGGACACTTGCACTTCATTAGACTAAAATTTTATGGGCTATAAAACTGCATACCCAAAAATGTTGTAAAGATTCAGATAAAAAAGTTTAAATTTTGATGGGAATTTTTTGAATTTTTCTAAATTTTTTATAAAGTTCGAAACTGTGATTTATATGGTTTTGGTTTAGGCTTGGATGATATTTTTATTGAAAAATAGCAAAAAAAAATTTTGCTCGAAAAACATTGTGAATATTTAAAAAAAGTCAACACGTAGTCATTTGTTTGAAACACTGTAACTGCATGTGTACACATAAACGGCAGTTTCAGCAGTTAACTGTTTAAATTTATGACAGCCATTGGTGGTTGATCGCCGTGAATGTAATGCAAATAAGTAGTGGAAAAAGCTGCATGAGAATTATTATATGTATATAATTTATGTATGTAAGTGCTTAAGCTTATTACTTAACCGGCCCAATTAATAAAGTTCAATTATACATATTGTTACGATTATCCTCGAAACCTTGAGGGATTTCCCAAA